TAAGGATACATGTCTATAAATATATGAGCTAATTTTTTAAATAAATTCGGAATAAGAATAATAAGAATGACGAAACAACCAGAATATATATATATATATATATATATTTCTTATGCTTGCTGTGTGCTTTCGTTTCTTAAGTGAGATAAGGTATCAATTCTTGACACTGAATATTTGTTCTTCTTTAATGTCCCTATCTGCCAAGCTAAGAATATATATCACAATGCTCCATCTAAAAACCTTCCCTTTAACATAACTAGGATCAACTATAAAATTCACACACGTTCGTTTACTTCAAAATACAATTGAAAAAAAATAATTCTTGTTCTTGCTGTTTCTTGTGAGTGTAAGGGAGATTATTGATAGAGAAAGGGATTACAGCATAGAAAAGCTGCTAATTAAAGATGGTGAATAGTTATGGAGAATATTTAACTTCAGAGTTTGGGATATCTCCCAGCACTGCCATATTAACAGTCTTCATTGGGTGCGTTTGCGTGTACATGTTGGTGAAGCGTCAATGGCAACCAAAGGAAAAGCGAATGCTTCAGAGTTCAAAAGCACTTGCAGAACTGTATGGTGGAGAACTTGCATGGAAGAGATTGAACGATTATAAGGCAGCTTTGGCCATTCCTGATGACGCTTTGGATCAAACTGGTCTCCTTTTGAAGGATTTGCTTGCCGTGGATGATGAGCAACGCCTTGACTTGGACAAGATTCAGGTTTGCCACCTTCATTGTTCTCTATATACTATCCCTGGTCCTTAATATAAGAGCTCTTTAACTAGTTTGAGTAGATTACAAAAATTATTTAGTTAGTTATTTGTAACAAAAATAGGTTGGTTTTTTTAAAAAATCTTTTTAATCATGATTATCCTTTGATGGAAACCTCATGACATGTATAACTAATAGGGATATTTTAGAAAATAAATTATAAATTGGAGAGACAAAGTGAATTAAGACCTTATATTTAGGATGAAATTCAATTCGCAACTGAATTTTATACTAAGGACCGGAAATAGCATATAGAAATAATACCTACTTTTCTTGTCAAGGTCCTTTATTTGACCCAATTGACACTAAACATCTTTTTAAATATTGTTTCAACATCAAGTTATGTGTTTTATTTTTTATTTTTTGTGTGTGGGCTTTGGCTGTGAGTTCTTTTCACCCGAAAAATGTTCACATAAAATGACACTTTGTTTGTTGAGAAAATTACACTAAAAGACCAAATATGAAAGCTAATAGGGATCACAAAATTCGCAAATTAGTCTAAAAAACCTTTCCTCTGCATCTGCAAACAATTTTTTTTTGGGCAAAAAGGGTGATGACTGAATTGCACTTATTGTTAAATGTGCGATCTTTTGAATGGTAAAGTGTCGTACTGTGACTAACAAATTTTCACTTCCCAAGTGCTAAATACTTGTATTTGGACGTGTAAATGAGTGTTTTTTAATTTTGCCAAAAGAAAAAAAGCTTATTTAACACTCAGATTTGTAAAATTCAGTACTCACATGATGCAAATCAATGCAAGCTAAGTAGGAGTATTCACAATTTGGCATAGAGAGAATTTAAATTTATAAGCTCCCATAGGAGAATTTAGCACTAAGAAATCGCAAATTTAACAATGAGGGTGCAGTCATTACGCTTCAAATAACTTCTCATTTCGCAGTCCAAAAATAATTTCCCTTTTTTGTGAAAGAAATTTTAAAATTAAATTATATCAATTAATGATTTCATATATAATACCATTCTTAGTCCGTCCTTATAGATTGATTGTATTTTAATTTACGTCTCTGCGGTTTTTAATAGTTCGTTTTAGTCCTTTTAGTTTCACAATTTTATAGTTAGGTTTAACAAATGGTCCCTGTTCATTTAGCGAATTTCGGTTTTGATCCTCATGCTAAAACCCAGATTAAATCTTTATAAAATTATAGAAATCAAAATCAATGATTTGAAACTATAGGGGTCAAAACCAAAACTACTGGATCAAATTGTAAGCAACTTACAACAAAGATATTAACCCTAAATTAATTTGAGGATGTGAAATTGTGAATGTGGATGCAATATTAGAGGGTGGTGGAGAAGCTGGAAATGGCGGGAAGGCATGAAGGAGTGAGTATACTGCAATCAGCACATGTCCGACATTCTGATAAATCTTTTTTGGTTCATGAGATTGAATTGGCACTAGTGGAAATGCTTATCTACAAGGTATTGCTTCATATTATATTATTATATATAATCTCCTTTATTGCATTTTAATAATAATAATAGTGATTTAGAATTATTTTTTAATTTATTTATTATGAGGAGGAATTATTAATTATTTGCTAGGGAAAACCTGAAGAAGCTTTGAAATGGGAATGCATGGACTATCAAGAAATTCAATTCGATGCTCGACCTCCATTCTTCAAGGTACTTCAACTATGTAAATTATTAATTATGTTTTTTTTTGCCACTAAAAATATAATATTACCTCTGGTTTTAATATAAGAGTTAATTTGACTTTTATTTTAATTCTAAATATAAGATCTCAATTCACTTTATCTCTCTTTTATTTAATTATTTAAGATAGTCCCTGTAATAATAGTAGCTCTAGTTAATATACTTGACTAGCAAGAATATTTTAGAAAAGACAACACCTATTTATTATAGATGACTAACTTAATTAATTTCCTCAATCTATTTAAATTAGTTAACTAGCTTTTATATTAAGAATCGGATATAGTATTATATTGTTCCCGTGCATTGCACAAACTCTCAGTTTTTACCTTTTGGCCATACTTATACAATTTGTTATAAATTTATACTTCATATTCGTTTTTTTCCCAATAATATCCTTTTAACTAAATTACAGGCAATAGTATATGGAATGATGGGAAATTGGGAAGAAGCAGCGCGATATTGGGATGAATTTGTGGATGTGAGGGATGGTCTTATATCAATCGTTGGGGAAGGCTTTCTGCCAGCAGGAAGACTTCACAGAATTTCTGATTTCGAAAAGTTCAAAGGAAGAGTCCAAAATCTCCTCAACGAAATTATCAAGGCAAAAAAGTGAATTACCAGATATTTAAAAAAATGAATGAAAAAAAGAGGAAAAATCTTATTATAAATGCGTGTCTATTTATTTATTTATAAATAAATAAAGATATATGACTGTTTTATAGTAATTAGTTGTTTGCAATTTGTTTTCATTATTTGATATATGGCTACTCAATTTTCATTTATCACCGTCTCACTTTTCGAAATATATGTTTATTATATTGTCAATTCATCACCTTGTCTTAATATTTTTAAATTCACAATTGATCGTATTTACGGTTCATGAATAAAATAATTTCCCGAGTGCTACAGATGATTATTATTGATTACTATACGTTTCTTTCCCACATTTCTGTACAGTTGGTAGTGGGCTATTTGTCTTTTTTTTTTTTATATTATTATTCAGTTAATCTGGTCAAGATTTATAATTTTTCCTTCCTACAAAAGTAATTTTTCCGAGGCTCAAACTCGCGACCTGAAAAAAACTAGCGAAACCTTACAATGGTAATTTTTTTGGGCCAAAGTCAAGTTCATTTTATTAATCACAAAAAAAAAATATTCAGGTTACAACATAGTAATAGTCGAAGTGAAAAAAAGAAAACGCCTGCACATACAACCTAACACCTGAAACTTATCAAAATAAAGCAATAAATGTTACTTAAGACTGTTTAGCACTTCCGAAATTTTCAACTTAGTTTCCGAAAATTTAACAGGGACTTTAGACTTTTCAACTTGTGTGTGAATGAAGACATTTTTGTTAAATGATTTTTTGTAAGTATTACCAAAAGAGTAGGGAATCAGAATTAATTCATATTTAATTTAACTTAGAAATCGATCATTAATGATCCTTTTACCTTATGATGATTTTTTTGGGGGTCAAAATACCTTATGATAAATTAGTTCTACATATTTTTGATGGGGGAACGAGTAATTTTTTTGCGCTTATAGTACAAGTTTAATCTCAAAGTAGTATGTTTCAACTGTCAAGCAATCATATCCTTTTTAATTAAAACCAACCTTGGTAGTAAAATATTAATATTTCAGTTAATTTAATTTAGGGTAGGTTTAATATCACTATCAATGTAGAAATTTTGTTGATAATGATCTACCAGTTTTTTTGAATGTCATTAATGTAGCCTTCAACTCACTTAAAGTTTTCATTTATAAAAGAAAGAATTATAATGAGATCCTGAAAAAAGAATTACAGAATAAGTCTGAAAAATTATCATTTCTTACTTTAAAACTTGTCATTATAAGCTGCTTAGACTGTTATTGAAATTTTTTAGTAATTATTTTTTTTGAGACCTTATTATAATTTTTCCTTTATAAAAAGATAAGAGGTTAAGGTGAATCTAGTATTTTAAAATATTTTTTCAAATGTATCTAATATTTTGAAGTATTTAATGATGCATTTAATTCTCTAAAGTTTTTTTTTTCAAATGCATTCAGCGCTTTAAAATATTTTGTAATATAATTTTTTACACTTAACAATTTATGGTGATAAATGCACTAAACAATAATTTGGGATATTGCATGCATCTGAAAAAATTCTTAAAAGTATGGGATGCATCAAAATATAATATAGTGTATTAAATGTACCTAAAAAAATGTTTTAAAATATTTAATATATCACAAAATGTTTTAAAATATTGAATACATATTAAAAAAAAAAAAGTAGTTGAGAAGGCTAGTTGCAGCTTAATCCAAAAATGAATAATTAATTAATGGCAACATTTTTTTTCCTTTATTTTTTCGCTCACGAAATGCTAGACGAGTCCAAAAGTTCGGTTTGGCATTAGGTTTGCATGAGGGTCCCACTTTCGTCTCGGTGACAATCCGCATTGTGAAAATTCACGAGCAACTGAAAGCTTCAACAATCCCTCCTCCTTTTTTCACAATCAATCAAGATCAATAATCGTCATCAACCACTTTATACGAATCACTCTTCACTCTGAGATGAAAATCAAATCAAATCCAATTCAGCATTTCCCCAGAAATTCATTTGCTTCATTATGGGCAACCCAATTACACCCGCCTCCTCCTCCAAACCTCTTTTCTTCATCTTCCAATCAAAGCTCCTCTGTTTCTCTCTGCTTTATCTCTTTGCCTCTCTTTACTTCACTTTCTCTCAATCCAAACAATGCTTCTTCACGTCATCGTCTCCCTCCAATGATCCTATTTTGTCTTCTTTGTATTCCTACCCTTCATCTTATGGAGAGCACAAGTATGCGATTCCAACAACCCGCTCCACCTGCTCTTCTCCAATTAAGTTTTCTGGTATGGACGATGATTTCTATGAACTGAGTTGTTGGATTTAACTTTTATTGAAATGGTGAATTTAGGTTGATGGATCTTGGTTCTTTGAATTCAGATTACTGGGATGTTTTGAAGGTAATTGAGAATTACGGCAAGAACTCTCCGTCTTCCTCGTGTGTTCTGAGGTATATGCAGGGTAATACGGATAGCTTTGGAGGGAACTTCAGTACATACAAGAGGTTTTCTTATTTCGATCACCAAAGCGATAATACCGAAATTCCCTGTGGTTTTCTGAAAGATTTCCCAGTCAGTGATTCTGGTAAGTTCCTTGTTAAACTGTCTGCATTCTCGTGTTTTCCTTCTGTCAGTTCTTCGTTTCAGCGTGTCTGAATTCCATTGAATAGCTGCTTCCTGAATTTTGATGTTCAGTTGGCTTTAGTCCTTAAAATCAGTGACACACCAAGAGACTGATATGCTGTGAATTTTTATTTTTCCACCACTAAAAGAACTTCACCATTCAAATAATGAATTGCTCTGTTAGGCGGAATTATGCTTGTTGAGAATTGCTTTTGAACCTCACTGATACTGAAAATCAATTTTTCCAGAATTCGTTTTCGTTCTGCAGGTCATGAAGTTAATATGATTCTAAACTGAACATTGACGTTCTGTCTCTTTATTCAGATCAAATTGCCATGGAGAAATGTGATGGAGTGGTTGTAGTGTCAGCAATCTTCAACGATCATGACAAAATCCGGCAGCCAAGAGGCCTTGGATCAAAAACAATGGACTATGTATGTTTCTTCATGTTTGTAGATGATGTTACTCTCAAGGGGCTTAAACACCATGGACTTCTAAATTCAACACAATCCAGTGAATACAAGGTAGGTGTATGGAGGATCGTGAAGGTTTCAAGCCGAAACTTGTATCAGAATCCAGCAATGAATGGAGTTATACCCAAATTCTTAGTCCATAGATTGTTCCCGAATTCGACATTCAGCATTTGGATAGATGCGAAACTACAATTAACGGTTGATCCATTATTGTTGATTCATTCGCTTGTTATAAATGAGAACGCAGACATGGCGATATCAAAACACCCATATTATACTCACACCATTGAAGAAGCAATGGCTACTGCAAGGTGGAAGAAATGGCGGGATGTCAATGCCTTGAAGATGCAAATGGAGACTTACTGTGAAAATGGATTACAGCCATGGAGTCCCAGCAAGCTTCCTTATGCCTCAGGTATGCTTTTGGCCTCAGCAATAGAACTGTTACAGTGCAAGAAAATTTAGTTTAGTTTCAATTCCCCCCAATACAAGGCTAAGCGCAAAAACTCAAATCTGAGATTTAGACTCCCAGAATTCAAAGACATCTTACCAATCATACCAAAACTAATTTGTTAATAATGTTTACAATAACAACAAACTTTATCCTGCTAATTGGGATTGGCTATATGAATTGCACAACGCTATTATATTCTATCAACAATCAAGTCCTTAGATATGTTGTTGATCAGGAGGTTTCATTCAATGATATCATTGAATGTTCTTTTCAGTCTTCCTCTGCCTCTTTTTAATAATGTTTATTATTAATTTTTTTTTAATAAAAGCATAAAACATTCCTTTGCAGTAACATATTTAAGTAATCTATTTAGAACTAGTTTATTAGTGATGGTTTTGGGAGTTGTGTTGCATAGTGCGCTTAATTTATGTAATAACTAATCAAGTTCCAACCCAGCATCTGGATGATAGATGATTGTTTCAAGGAACGTGGAAAACCTTATTAAGCCGTTGACAAATGTATATAAAAATAATGAAAGTCTCCATTGGGGAAGGCTCGTCTAAGGAAGGTCTAATTTAATTCAGAGACCTGAGAATAATATATGGGGTTTCTTCTTTCACAGTATGAACTTGAGGGGAAAAATTAGAATTGAAGTAGGGAGCAGGTTTGAGTCAAATCTCAACGATCACGTCACAATAAATGTGTAGATCATATTCATGGTCCCAAAGTAGTTGTGCCACTGCCTCTGGAGTGTGTGGTCCTAAACCAAATAGCCTTTGGATTATACATTGGCATTTAAGTCACAGGAGCACAGTTCTTAGAACATAGGGTTGGGGGATGCGGGTATCACATGCGACGTTCATTTTCTCCTTTTTCAGAGGTTCCTTGTTGGGTTCAATGTCGCCTCTGCATGGCACTTTTTTATTTATTTATTGCGTTCCATCTTCTGCCATCCCCACACATGGGTTTCTCATGTCCCTATCAGATAAAGGGAAAGTAAATCTGCACCCAAAATTAGGTGCTCCTCCGGTCCTAATACTCCTTTTATAGTATAAATCACACTATAAAAAAGGTTTTATATTTAGGGCTGGAAGAGTATATCGTAACTCTATTATACAATGCAATGATACAAAAATTACATATTGTCTAATGACAAGTCTCTTAGTTGTAACCAAACTTAAAAAACCTTTTCCTTTATTGGTTCTGAGGCAGATGTTCCAGACAGTGCTCTGATCCTGAGGAAGCACGGGATGGCCAGTAACCTGTTCTCTTGCCTCATGTTCAACGAGTTGGAGGCATTTAACCCAAGGGACCAATTGGCCTTTGCCTTTGTGAGAGACACCATGAGACCCAAAATGAGAGTGAACATGTTTGAGGTAGAAGTTTTTGAACAGGTGACCATTGAATTCAGACACAACCTGAAGCACCTTGAAGCGGCCAAAACTGCCACCAAAATGCCCAGCACTAAAGGATCCCACAGAGCAGAGTCAGACACGCTGTTTGAAAATGGAACGTCTGGCGGCGGATGCTCCAACTATCTAATCACAATGTGGGGTGAATCCCCACGATTGATACCCAAAAGTTAAGGACAGAATAATAATATGATTATTATTTGTTTATACAGAGTAAAGCGAAGGATAAGGAAGAAATAGGGGAGCCTAATTATTGGTTTTGTCTTTTGACAAAGTGTTAAAATCATAGACGGAGGCTAATACTTTAAAAAAGAGAGTAGGAATCCCTCTTTCATTTCATGAAGAAATATTAAAGCTGCCAGCTTGGGACAGGTTAGCAGGAACTTTCTGGTCTTTTGCTCTTTTGTATTTATTCTTTTTTATATATTCTCTTTGCTAGATTCCTTTTCCTACTTGATGGTTTTTGATGCAAAGGGAGGGTAGAATAGTGAATTAATTTATTAGATGATTCATGGTTCATGCCTGTCATCCATTTATATTATTAATTATATAAACCCGATTTTTTTCTAGTTATGAGCATTGATTTAGAGTTAAGGTTGACAGAGCAGAGTTTGGCATTGCAATATTTTTTATATAAATTTTTATTTGATTTTTTTGTGAGTATTTGATGGTTTTTATCGTTGAGTGAGTTATTCCGAAATAATATGCTTCTTTTATTTTGAATTTGTAAGTACAAGAAGTGGTTATGAAGACTAGCGTGCCGAGAATTGGATCGAATCTGCCGCATGTATGGGCTCTGGCTCAAATATGACGTGAAAACATTCGGAGACGGTGTTTGGGGAGCACATGAAATGCTTTTGAAAATCACTTTTCTTTAGATCGAGATAAACTCTTTCGTACATTTATTTCGTATATCATAAAAGTGCTCTTAAAATATAGTTTTTGATTTCATCCAAACACTCCTTAAGAATCGACCACCAACCAGTCAAAAAGTAGTCAGAAGTGAAAATATTTTTAGAAAATTAATTCAAGCACCTAATAAGTAGTCAGAAATGAAAATACCGGATTAATAGGTAAGAAAAGAAAATATTTATGTCGAATTTCTTATATCAGTATCAAAGTTTTTTAATCACATATGGTGATCATGGTAACTAGAGAACTCAACACTTTGCACCCCAAAGGGTTCTGTAATTGATCATTTAAAAATAATTTGAGGAATATTTTAGGTTAAACAGATTTTTGAAAAAGGGTGTTACTTGAATATTTTACTCGCCCTTTAATTATTTCCTGGCCACAAACTCTTATCCACTAGCAAAGAAATAGGACATTTGGGATAGATTTGCGACTAATTTGAGTTCTTGCACCTATTTAGTACAAATTGATCAGTCACAAAATTTATAATTACAAAATTTTTTTTTGACGGAATTCACATTTCATCACAAATTTCTTGGTTATTTTGTTACTACGGCGAATCTAGTGTACTTCTTTCAGGTTTTTTTTTTATAAGACTCAAATTTTTAAATTCGTCCGGTCCTTCTTTATGCATTCCAGTTTTGAATTATCTAAATATAAAATATATTTTTCACAATTTTACCTCTAATTAATCGCATTATCTCTTTTCACATATTCTTTTTTATTTTTTTCTTCATCATCTCTATCTCTCACCTTCGCTCTTATTTAGAAAAAAAACTGTATTTTTTAACATAATTATTACTTTCAATTAATATGGATAATATTTTAAACCATGAAATTCATATCAATTGAATATTATCAAAAATACAATTCCCATCTTTAATATAAGTTACTTATAACATATTCTCATATGCTAAGGAATGTATTAAATTGACAAATTTTTTTTTTTATTCTTATTGAAGGTTTTTTCTCTCTTTATGTTGACAAATTATTTCATATTTCTCCTTTTTTCTCTTTTCAATCAGAATTAAATAAGAATAAAATTAAAAAATAAATATTAAATATATTATAAGTAAGTTACACTTAAGACAAAAAATGTTCCTACTATTAACTTGCATTTAGGTAGAGAAAATTGCATCATTGAACTAACTTTAAAAGTAATTTACGATGCGAGTTCGTGAGAATTTTATCTCGTTTACTCTTTACTAAGAACAAAATATCCTTGATCTTAACCCCGCGTCGGCTATATCCACTTATTGGTGACGTTGTGGATTGACTCATCTTACTGGTTTCTCTAAATTGAATCAAACCGTAAAGCTGTGCAAACTTGCATCCAGAGAGAATTTGGATTTAAGTCACCTTCAATTGATGTTCCAAGGGGATTTTTGCAACCATCAAAAGTATTTTTTAAAAGCACTTTTCCGTAAAATAAAGTAAACTCCTCTACATTACTACCCTCCGTCCTAATTATAAAAGCTATTGACTAATTTGAGGAAATTAAAAAATAAGTTAAGTTAGTTATTATAATAAATAGATGTTGTATTTCTTAAAATATTCTTGTTAACGAAGTATATTAGCTAGAATTACTCTAGGGGGTGTTTGGATGAAAACCAAATCATGGTTTACAGAAGTGTTTTACGTTTACGAGATAAATATGGGAGGAGTTTATCCGATTGCAAAAAAGTGCTTCTGAGAAGCACTTTTCAGGTATCAAAGATCTCTTATTAGGAGGGCACCTTAGAAAAATAAATACTAAATATGATAGACAGAAGTAGATTGAGATCCTATATTTAAAACAAAATAAAAATCAAACAAAATCTATATTAAAGAACGAGATAATTTTGAATTAAAAATACTTTTAAAACTATAATTTGGTTTTTATATAAACATCCCGTAACTATGTTTTCAAAAGGATTGCATGATACCTAGAATCGCACATCAACATGCCACATCTCACAACATTTGGAAGAATTTTGTTGACTGGTTTTTCATCATCAATTTGTGTGACCGACTTTAACTATAATCACCAACTTCCAAAAATAATCTCACATGTTGTTCACTATTCTTAGCCCACCCGATCCCGCAGAGTCTCGTTTCTCCCCGGATTTCCCTCCCGAATTCCCCAACCCTAACTGAAATTCCCTCATCATTCCCACGCTCAGATCAAATTTTCGTTCCGATCATTTGCAGCATTTTTATTCAAATTCGAAATGACGAGCCAATATATAGCACGTCACAGAGACGATGCTGAGGTCTACCATGGCGAAGCAATCTGCAAGAAGAAATCGCGCGATCTGCTCGGCGAATTCTGCCTCCCGGCTGGCTTGCTTCCGTTGGAGGACATCGTAGAGGTGGGGCACAACCGCGTCACGGGGTTCGTGTGGTTGAAGCAGAAGCGGAAGAAGGAGCACCGGTTCCAGCGCATCGGACGAGTCGTGTCGTACGAACCGGAGGTGACGGCGTTCTTGGAGGAGCACCGAATGCGGCGGGTGACCGGAGTGAAGACCAAGGAATTTTTCATCTGGGTCACGATCGCTGATATCTCAATCGACGACGACAATTCCGGTAAGATCACGTTCGCTAATCCCTCTGGCTTATCAAAGACGTTTTCCATTTCCGCTTTCGATGGCGAGACGAATGAGAAGGAAGAAGGAAAGAAATAGGAAAATGCTAGCATGCGACGTAGACACCAGTCTAGTCAGGTCTCTAAGGACAAAAGTTGATTGAGATTTAGTGCATCCAGGAACAAGAAAAAGAGGAAGCTCATTATTCTTGAAGATATTTGAGCATAGCACATTTATTTGCAGAAACCATCTATGAAGAATTCACTGTTCCTGAAGATGATGGTGGCTTCCCAACATCTCCTACCTTGGCTATTGTTTCTGAAATATCATTGGAGCTTTAATGGCTTCCTTGTTGTCAGCACGACACACATGTGGTCATGTGTAAACAGAAAAAAAAAGGCAAATAAAAATACTAGTTGGACAAGGTGAAAAAATTGAAAGGGGAATACTGGAACAGTGGAACTTGATTTGAGATATGTTAGGGTTTTTTTAAGTGAATTATGTTAGGGTTTCCCCCCCTTCTCTTGCAAGTCAGAAAATATGTTGTTGTAACTACTTTTTAAAATTTGGGGAAAAAAAATATTAATTTGATTATAATGATATGAAATGTTAGGTATCAGTTTCCATGCTTGAACCATGATATTTGTGTGAAAAGTACTTTTGTCCTGACTAAAGGTGGATAATCAAATAGTATAATCCATCATCAAATATAAAAGTTATAATAAATTACATTCATAAACCATAAATTATGAATATGAAGTGTTTGAATTATTCCTTCAATTTCATGTAATGCATGATATTGCAGAGTCATGTATCCATGCAAAGTAACGCAATGGTCAAGTTGGCAGCTGAGCTCTTTCATCTAACTATGTTAAATTCAAACTTAGGGTGTGTTTGGATGAAACCAAACCATGGTTTGGAGGATAGCTTCTGGAGAATAGATTCTGAAAAAAATAGATTTGTGAAAAGTGATTCTAATAAATGAGAGTGTTTAGATAGTTGTTATCAGAAAACTTTTTATATGTCCAAATTTTACTAAAAAATGTATAAGTTATATGAAATTACATAAAATAGATTTTATAAATATTTTAATTTTGAAAAACAAAATTGTTAATAATATATTTTTTATATTTATAAAATATAAGATTAAAATATGTTTATAAAAAAATAATTGAGGAATGTTAAAATCATATTATCGTTGAGATCTACTCTACAGGTTACAATCATACTTTCTCATTTGACCCAGAAGTAGAATGAATTCACTTCTTCTAAAACCATGGTTTTGATCCAAAACCATGGTTTTCTGTTTTTTCCTGGGTGTTTGGCAAGTCTGAGACCCAAACCATGGTTTAGGTCCCAAAACCATGGTTTTTTATGTTATCCAAACAGGCCCTTAATTAGGTTTAAGGGAAGCGGGTTTTTCTCCGAACAGGAACCAATCCAACTTGAATCCAAATTAATTGGTAATATCATATATTAGATTACCAGAAAAAAAAAACTTAGCATTAAAAAATAAGGGAGAAAGAAATGAGGAGCTACAAATGTCAGCACATTGAATTAAGGAAATTTCACTCGAAGGATGCTATTTTAATACACAAGACACTTTTAAAACAATAAGCTAAATTTTTTCTCTCTAGACATAGATATTTTTCTATTAGAAGTAATCTTTAAGATTCATCACGTTATGTGAGACTAGTTTTTTTTATTAAAAACGAACTCTTTTGGTATTATTTGTGAATTGGGAAGGGGGAAAACACTATAAACTATTTGTGAATTGTGACGAGATAAATAGGCCCATTTTTCATTTAAATACAAAAATAAAGTTTAGATAGAAAAGGCCTGCAAGGTTTAAATTCGACTCTGGCGTCAAATTTAAAGCCCACATGTCTCCTTGGCAGTGTCTATTTTTGTTTTTAACCTCCATGTAAACAACAAGTTAGTTTCGCTTGTTCACGTTTTGCCAAGCAGGCTCCAAAGCCCGTGTGCGATTGGTTTTTTTATTTTTGTCATCCAAGTTTTTGAAGAGCCATCATGATTCGCTCTTAGTGGTTTGGTCTTAAATTAGCTTCTTGTTTTATAGTTTAATGTAATTTTTATTTCATTTTTGGTTTATTATCAATTAATCGCTTCAGGATATTTTGTTCTTAATTTATGTTAAACTAGTGGCACCTGAGGACAAGATTGCAAGGAAGATATAAAATTACTATTTTTAAAAATTGCGCACTATTATAGGGCACAATTGAAGTCTGAAAACTGACACGAAAGCAATATAATTTTGATTATGATTTTTTTATATTTAATTTTCTATGATTTATATTTAATTTTAAAATATATACATTGAATGGTATAGTCTAAAGAATTTTATTGTTGGAACTCGCTTTGCTTATACTATAAGTAATTTTATTTCCAGATTTGTTTTCAATTTTTTTAAATAAAATTTTCATTTCCTTTAGTAAGAAAAGGGGTGAGTATAAGACAAATGAAATATAAAAGCTGCAGAAGAAACAAATGCTGGAAAAAAATCTCAGTTGAAAACTAAAAATTGAGCAAACGGAGCGGGGGAGTCTCTGAGCTTGCTCCTGAGTCCTAACAATAAGCATAAGGTTAATTGTCATTAATCATAAAATCAAATAGATTTAATGTGTAATATAATCAACATAATTATTATATATACCATAATTATTTTTAATTATACAAAAAAATCATTCAAATTGTTAATAAAATACATGCAACTTATGTTATGGTTTCTGAAATAAGTCATAATGGTTATAATTAACAAACATCATAACAAATTATGAAAAAATATTTTTTGCGGGAAATGATGAAAAAATATGAAATAAGTCAATAGACCTTTTAAGTTTGAAATGATAAATTCAAGTTTTTTTGGCAGAAAAATTCAAACTAAGTAGCAATACATATTAAAAGAATTAGAAAAGAATTAGGGAGAATTAAAAAAAAAAGAAGTTGGAAATTACTAAATTTCAAATCAGATTTGGTAACCATACTTTATTTGGTATTGACAATACTAAATTTATAAATGAGAACAAGTTTTTGTTGACATCCTTTTTATTTGATACCACCTCCGGTCTTAATATAAAATCTTATTTAATTTTATTTTGATCCTAAATATAAGATCCCAATTCACTTTCTCTCTTATATTTTGTATTTTTTTTTAAAAAGTCCTTTTAATAATGATAGTTTACCAATACACTTGATTAGCAAAGATATTTTAGTAAAGACAATATCTATTCATCACAAATAACTAACTTAATTATTTTTTAATCTTTTTAAATTAGTCAATTAACTCTTATAATTAGGACCGGAGGTAGTATTTACAAATTTTTAACTTCTTTTTTTGTCATTTTCTCGAAGAATTATGGTTAATTGGTTGTGACAGTTGTAGTGTTTATGAAGTCAAATCTATTTTGATTGAGAGAGCATCATAAGACGCGTAAGTCTTGAAGGTCCCCCTCGTATTACTTCGCATCAACGAACCCGGAAAACAAATTCCCTCCGTCCCTCTCTCAATGCTCTGTAGCATTCTGGACGATCGTATTTTCCGCCCACAATTCTCTTCACTTTCTCGTTGGATTCACTCTCCAACTTCCCTTCAGGTTTCGATCCATTTCAGGAAGCTTCAGGCTTGATTCGCTGAATCACTGAAGCCGAGCCCAGCTCAATGATCGGATCGAGCATGTCGAAGAGGCTGCCCTACACGAATAAAGATATTGACTATGACAACGCCAAGTTTCGCCACCGTTCATTCGTCAAGGTACCTCCAGGAAATTAGATCTTAGCTTGGAAATCATCTGGAAAGTTAGTTATGTTAAATTTGAATGGGACCCAGAATTTGATGGATGATAGCTATATATATTGTGGTTGGATTCTGTATTGGTGGTGTTTGTATAATTTGCAGCGACAAAATTTCGATTGATGTCAACCTGGGTGGGTGGACAATAGTTTTTCAAGTTTTACAATGGAATTTGATTAGAGGCTTATTGTATTAATGCAGAACTTTTCTAGATATCTGCATTTTGGTTCTCAAAATGAAATCTTTTAAGCTCAGCTGAGTTACATGAAACTTGTGACTGATTGACGTACACTAGCTAAGCTTGCTGGCCCTATTGAAAATCTAATTATTGGTACTTGTCTAGGAGAGTGAAAGCATGATTTTTAAGTTACTGACATGAAAGCGTCTTGCATCTTATTTGCCTTATTCTGTTTAAGCCTGATTTTGTTTTGCCTTTTAGAGTTGTAGTTGTTTTGGTTGATACATAAGAATTTTTGGTGCCAAATGAAATGAAAATATAACCCCCAGAATCAAAGATTAATTTTCTCAATTAGGCTATGTTCGATTTGGGTCACTCTAGATAAGTTTCTATTTTTCTAGAGCAGTTAGAAACACTTTTTGGACTAAGGTTGCTTTAACGCGTAAATCCGTTTAAAAACTTGGCAGAGCGCATCCTTTTCTTTGATCTAAATGTTGATTTGTATAATCTGATCTTTTGCCCATGACTTCTGATTTTATTTGCATTGCTTTTTCAATGGAGATGTGATGCAACACTCACTCTCACACACTTGCACAGATGCAAAAGGGGGCAGCAGAACAGTGATGATGGGGGAGAGGATACACATAACGTAGGAGGGAGATTAAGCTTAGAAATGAAGAGGGTATAAGACCAGGAGGAGGGGGGATATGAAGAACTTGAGGGGAACAGGAAGGAATGGAGAAGAGATTGAAAACAAGGGGATAGAGAGTGGCTAAACCATATTAAATTTCGTTTCATTATCATCTGAGTACAAGTGTTGCCTAGCTGCTATTTATAAAGTGAGATTTCCTCCACATGAAGGAAAACACAATAATATCCTAGGGTTTCAGCCAAAATATCATATGATAAGTCTAAAAACATAAAACATAAGAAAATGTTACTTGCAAGCTAGAACAGAAAGTAAATAAAATAAAATATAAAAGTAAGCTTAGTTTCCTCAAAATATATCAATTCTTATTTCCCATAAAGATGTGTCATGGATATAATATTAAGTGTCCTGTGTAAATTATATCAGGCATGAGGAGCAGAAATTTCAGTGAATAAGTATATTTTTCTGCCATGGTTCTAATGGTGAGTGGTTATTTGAAATGGATCATAAAATATTGAAGGTAACCGTTGTTGCTGATCCAATATTTGTTGTGTAAAAAGAATGATAAAACTTTGAGACTATGGGAACTGTTTTTCAAATTTTACAAGGATTATTAGTTTACCTCTTTAGATTGCAAAATATGATCAAATATGTGTTTTGTGTTCATGACTTGGTATCGGCTTAACCTTATTGAAATGGTAAT